TCTGTTTCCTAGAGTCTTGCTATCTATGGATCCTTTCTAATGGTTCTAATACATCTTGCCCAGATAGTACTATTAAAACATATCCCACCCTCCTTTAGCTTCAGGTTTCAAATCCTGTATTCTACTACAGCTTATAACACTCTTAGGTGTCCACACATTGTTATTTGTTGCTTAACAGAAGAAGCCACTGGAGCTCCACTTCACGCTTCAGTTTCAACCCACATAAAAAATAAGGCCATAACCCAAAATCTCTAATACTGGACTCCTTCCTGATGTTCAGGGCATACAGGAATATAGGAAAACGATGTGTGCCATTTTCTCCTGTTAGATGTACATCATGATTTCCTAAATCAGTTGAAATTCAACTGCTGAGCCAGCAATTTTGAAGGTTCTGTGTATGCAAGAGCTCCCAAATGAGACTGACTTCTACACACATGATCTACACTTTGTCTCTTTTTCACTTTAGCTGGAAAGTCAGCAAACTGTCCAACAGGAATGTTTGGGCACCTTCATATTATCTCTGACAACATGTCAAGTGGGAAAAAAGGCATTTGCAAACCAGAGGGAGAAGAATGTGGAAAGATTCTACTTTTGGTGCTATATTTGGAGGTACTCAAAGTGTTCAGAGAAAGACGAAGTTATTGTAATTTTATCCTTGGTCAAAGTTTCTTCTCTCCCCTTCCCCAATTAAGGCAAAACAGCATTGGTTATACTATAGAGAAGAGAATACACTCATAAAGTTGAAAGAAGTAAAGTCATTTTTCAGAACAGCAGCCATTAAAATGCACTATCAACCACAGACAAGTTCTGTTCCACAGTATATGATGTACTGCAACAAACAAACATTACTTTGTTTTCCATATATTACTGTTTGTTTCATTATGCTGTGGTATTCCAGCTTCTATTTCAAATGCTTCCTCTTGATGATAAGTAATTGCATGTTATAAGATCCAAAGATGGGTTTGGAGGAAGACATTAATTTAGCATCAGAATCAAATGATCACAACTACTTGTTTGCTTCCAAAGACTGCATGGCTCAGGGCAAAGTACATTGTGCCTTTCCCAAGCCTGCTTCTTTTAACAAAATAATGCAAATCAATTAATTAAAAACTATGCTGCTTTCTTAATTTTCTCACGTTCATCTAATTTCTAATTTTTAGATGGTCTCTGTATGCCAAGGACACCTTTCTTTTGTTTTCCAGTTCCTTTCTAACTTCACATCTTGAATAGTTTTTGTGATAAGCCTCCCGCGGTATCCTAGCACTTCCTCAGCCCTAAAAGGTGAGTATGGAGCCACCACAGTGCCAAGCCCTGGGAAATCCCTGATCCTGCCTATCACCATCCAGGACACTGGTGCTATAGGCGATTCTCCTTTTCCTGCAGTAGCTACTCACCATTTCCTGTCATCTGCTACTCTATGAACCCACTAAGACACTTTTTTCATTTTCACTCACTGGTTTTTCCGTGTTCTGATCATCCTCCCCTCTTAGGTTGGCGATAGACATGTTGTTACCTTGTTCCCTGCTTTTGCTTCAGTTACTGCTGCTAAAATATTCCTTTGCCTCCCCCATTTTTCACACAACCAAGGTTTTGCACAGCCTTCCCCCTGCATTCGCCTTTGGTTCCTTATTCTTCACTCATGCCTTGTTTTCCCTCCTTCTCTCATATAATTTTCATACCTTAGCACAGGAATTCTCTCAATTTCTCCATTTATTAATTTTTCTTGCCCATCATTCTTGCTCCTCTTCAAGAGCCAAAGTAGCCCCTCATGGCAATTTTTCATACAAGGTGTTTGCAAACACTCATCAGCACTCCTTGGGGGAACTGTGTCAGTGACTGTACAGTTTCCACATATTTGTACAGCCCTGGACTGATTGACTAAACAGTCAATAACAAATCAATAGCCCAGCTATGACAGCAGTATTTTTGCTTTCTGGAATAGAATAATTTAGATTTTAAGTTTATTCAGACTGAGAGATAATTCCTGCAAATAAAGCAGTGGAAACCAGAGCATCCATCAAATCCAAAGAAGTGTTCAAATGTGATGTATCGTGCTTGGAATGTCTCCCTTGCCTGCATTACTCTCTTGAGATGGGAAATAGGAGAAGGCAGCAAAACAATAAGAGTAATGAATAATCACATACTTAGCAAAACCATTAAGTTTAGAGTTTGAAATTCGTACAACAATCTGGATTTTGTTGCAATTTCATTTCATAGATATTACCATTGAAAGGCAAATAAAATTGGAAAAGATGTATTCCCAGAAAATCTATTATCAGAAACCCTAAAAAAATTATCATAAATTCAAGCATTTCTAGTTTTTACACAAGACTCAGAGGGACACCATCTGCCTTGTCTAGTTACAATAAAAACCTGCTGGGCAAATGAAGGTCACTTGAATTTTTTAAAACTTAAAACTTTGTCTTCTGCTAACTCAGAGGGAAATACATCAAAACCATAACCAACTTTTCCTGGGTTTGACAATCACAAAAATCCTCTTTATGCTCCTCACTATTGACTCACAAACCACCGCATCCCAAGGGACTGTGCACTCTGAAACGAGGAGTGAGTAATCAGGAAAAAGATGTTTCCCCTCTTCAAAGTATTCACTAAAGCATTCATCCTTTCAAAACTTTCAGGCTACTATTTGTTTGGGTTGTAAATCTTACAGCAACAATATTGACAATGTTACTGTAAACACTGTACAATGTAAATGAAATTGTCCAAAATGTATGGACAGGAGACTCAGGTCATAGAGAATTTCTCCAAGATGGCACAGGGTGAGCTGGTCTCATTTCATCTGTCTGGGATCACAGAACAGCAAAGCCCAGAAAGAACAGTCTGATTTTTAGACCTGTCTCAAAATAAAAGACTGATACTCTTCTACAGCTTGGGAAGGGACTTTTTAAAATTAATTCAAGATACCTTTGGAAAGAGTTGATACTATGAAGGAAGTCAACAGTTTCAGAGAACGACTATTTTAGTATGCATCTGAAAAATGACTCATTGGCTCTGACTGCCATTTTGTTTACTGCTGTGGAAAGCTGCAAAATGTAGTTGTAATAAAGCAGACATTGAAGAGATGTATTAAAGTATCTATTTATTGATGGATATATTCTTATATTCGGCTCAATGAGCTGATTTGCTACTGTAAACAATAAAGGTCACTTTACAATAAGACCAAATAATTGATTTATCAGAAAGAAACCATAGGGTGTGATTATTAAGTAATGCATTGCTTGGTAATTAAGAAGTATTTGCTGCATTAATTATTGGAATTACTACACATGGTTAGTTTACAGTATTTCTTTATCTTTCCAACATTTTACTCTTTAAATATCAAATCCTAACAATCCAAATATTGCTGGCGAATTGGAAAGAAGAAGACAACTCTCCAGTTACCACAGTCAGGAAAAAAAATAGTTATGTTTCATGTAAGCAGAATGTCTTGTCCTTGGGAGTCCAATATCATCACACGTCCCTGTAGACCACACAAACCATAAACGTCTTTGAGCTCCAAACTACCATTAGATAGTTTTTATTGAACTCTCAGTCAATACTAAACCGGTTAGTTGGCAAGTTCATAATCACCTGAGGTAATATTCACAGTTCAGGAGATGGGGTCAAGCAAGAGCTGGATGTGCACGTGTGATTTCCGACTTTCACGATAAAAAGTGACAATGTTTAAAATACCCAATATTGATATTTTTTAAATATCAGTACGCCACACCTCGGCTCCTGCCTCCTCTGGAGTCCATCGCTGATGCGAAGTGTCGCTTCCCGTCACCATGAGCTCATTCCTCTTCACAGAATCACCAATCCACAGCATCAGTCAGGGTGGAAGGGGCCGTAAAGGGTCACCAGGTCCAAGCACCCAGCTGTAGGATCATCCTGGAGCCCGTGACACGGGACTGTGTCCAGACCCTCCTGAGCTGTCGGACCCGGGTCCCTCGCGGCCGGGCACCGGGAGCGCTGCAGTGATGGCCGGCGAGGGCCGGTGCTCAGTCAAGGCGCAGCCCGGTCACTCGGCATCACCTTCACACGCTCCCCGTCTCTCCGAAGCACCGCGGGGACGCCAACGGCCATGGGGCGGCATTTTTCCTCCGAGAAACGACACGGACGGCTCTAAAGTGGCGATGGCCGATGGCTTCGTGTCTCCGCGCATCCCCCAGCCGCTTCAAAATTCCGGCCACCGCCACCACGTGAGGGGCAGGTGGCGGGAGGCCGCTGGTTTTCATGTCCCCGAGTGGGCTGGCGAACCTGCAAAATGGCTGAGGGGCAGCGGGAGAGGCATCGCCGTGCCCGGCGGGGAGCGGAGACGAGAGGTGTTCCCGAGCCCCGCCGCGCTGCCCGGGCCGGCGCTCCTCGGGCGCGCCCGCCACCTCGGGTCCCTCGGCGATGGCCATGGGCGGCGGGGCGGCCACGCGGCGCCGGGGGACGGAAGGTGCCGGCAGGGCCGCCCGAGGCCCCGCGCCCGCCTCTCCCCGTGGTGACCTTGGGCGGGCGGCGCGGCCCTCCCCGCCGAGCGCCTGCTCCGGCACCCACCCCTCCCGCCCGCCCCTCTATTTTTATTTTTTTTATTATTATTTTTTATTTATTTATTTATTTTGGCCGCGGAAAGAGTTTGAGGCGGGGGGGGGGGGG